CCCCTCCGCAACTTCCGTGAAGACACGGGGGCACAGCCTGAAGGGCAGGACCTTGTACTGATATGCCCGTTCTTCGAACGCGAATCGCAGAAATGGTCTGTGCCGTGGAAGGATTGAGACATGAAAGTAGGCGTCCTTCAGGTCGATCACTGCAAACCAATCTCGGGGACGGATGCACCCAAAGATGCATTTCTACATTAGCATCTTGAACGGCAGACTGTGAAGGGCTCAGTTCAAGACACAGGTCCAAGATCGGTCGTAACCCAACGCCTTTCTTGTGTACAAGGATGTAGGGGCTCTAAAACCCTGTCTTAATATCGGCTGGAGGGACTAGCTCTGCCGCGTCCTTCGCCAGCAGGACTGCGATCTCCGCATGCAAGACATGAGAATCGGCTGCCTTCACAGACGTGAAGTGGATGCCCCTGAACTTGGGGGGGGGGGCCTCCGGGCGAACTGAATCGCATAGCCAAGTCTGATGGTCCGAAGGCTGGGCAGCGCTAGCCAGGCTTCCAGTTACCGTACAAGCGGGACCAGTGGAACCATCGACGTACCCGCAGTGGAGCAGCGAGGTGGAATGCAGGGACCCGGCTCGGGCAGCTCGTGGGCTGACGAAGCGGGGTCTGAGTGTGCGGTGCAACACTTACCTGGTTCCAAGGTTGGGCAGAGGGTGCGTGAGTAGGGCCTTTGCCAGCTCTCTCGAACCGCCCACTGCTGCCCGCTGGTGACAGAGGAGGATGAGTGGGATCCGGCTCTGGACTGTCCACAACTCTCCGTGCCCTCTTGAGACCCAGAGATAGAGGAAATTGTTCTTTTGTCGAGATTTTGGGATTTTCCGCCCGGCCCTCCTCCGGGGGAGGGAGTGGTGCGTTCACCACCTCCCTCCATCTCTGGGTCGCCCATCACAGGGGCCTCGTGCTCTTCCACTTGCCGCCAGGTTTGGCAGGGGCCTGGACAGGTGGGGCGGCTGCCCTGCAACCGGCTCCACGGTACCGCTTAGCTGGAGGCTGCTGCGGCACGGGAGCCGGGGCGGACGCAGTGGGACGGAGGTGCTGCGGCCGGCGAACGGGTGGAGGCAGCAGCTGCCTGCCGGGGCAGGATATGTCGAATCGCCTCAGTCTGCTTCTGTGCAGCCGAGAACTGCTGGGCAAAGAACCGCATCGCCAAAGAGGCTGGTCTGGGACACAGGGGAATTGAGTAACCGAACATTGTCGAACAACCGAACGGTTTGCCCCGCCAGGTGGAGGCGGGACTAGGACACAACTGCATCGCTACCGACCACTCCACCGAGGGATCTCCGTATACCCCCTGGCTGCTTCGCCGTCGAGGGTGGTGAGGGAGAAGGAACTACCAGGCCGGTTCCTTGCAGTAAAAGGTGCCATCCACAACCTGGTGAGCTCCTCATGCACCTCCGGGAAGAATGGCACCGGAGTGGGGCACTGAGAACCAGCGCGGGCCACCCCAAGAAACCAGTCATTCAACCTCGAGGACTTGGGACATGGTGGAGGTCTCCACTCAAGCCCTACCCTCTCGGCGGCCCGGGAAAGCACAGCTGTTATCTCTGGATCCGATTCATGCCTTGCTACCATTCCGGAGGGCGGCAGCGCAGCCGAATCTTCCTCTCCAAAGAGCTCCGGCTCACCCTCTGATGCAGCGATCGACATCCAATCGTCGGGAGGAGCCCCAAAGGATACGGCTGGTACGCTCCTTGTAGAGGGCCCAGCACGTTCCTGAGGGAACTCAACTAGTTGTGGAGCGCTAGAGGGGTGACGGTCCCTGGGAGGTTGGTTCCTCAGAGGGGTCGCCACCACTGTGAACCTAAGACTGCCCGAGCTACTGCCTGAAGTAGTCCTCCCCTGACTTCTGACAGGAAGAGAACTAGATCGAGGTAGAGGCACTGGAACTCCAACCCTTTTGAGGTAATGGTGCCTGGCCCGCAACTCCGAGATGGTCATCTTCCCGCAATTAGAACATGACTCATCCACGAACGCCACCTCAGCGGGCTTAACGCCCAGGCACGTGAGGCAGCAATCGTGACCATCACCTGGCGCCAGGAACCAGAAACGCACGGGTGAAACGGCATCTAAACCAAGACGCAACGTCGTCTTTAAAAAGACCCACCCGTGAATGCTCTTTTAGGGAAAAAGGCTCTTTTAGCGTGCTGAAGCATACAGGGGAGATGGCCGCCTGCAACACAAACAAGGGGTAGTGCAGCCTGATGTGTGCAACCCACTTGACACGGGAAACCATCACCGCTGTAGCGCCGTTCCACCAACACGGAAGAGCTTCCTAAAGCGCGCTGAACTCGTTCTCTGAAGACAAACGAAGCTTGGCAGGAGCAGAACGACATTATCGCTCGGCTCCGAAGTGAAAAGCTGAGTATGTGGTGCATCTGCTGCCTATTTATACTCGCACTGCGATCAGCGGCAGCTGAATGCAATCACTGCATGCCAATGTGAATTGGCTCATTTAGTTTACACTCAAAGTAGATTGGTCTCTCTGGCGAGATTCCCAATTCGTAAAAACTGAAAGGGAACCGAGGTTACGTTAGTAACCAAGTACGTTTTCCATTAATGTGGCCTTGGTAATGTCAGCCAGAAGGATAGTTGTGAAGAAAAATTTTTACATTTTTCTTCTTCTTCTGGAAAACATGCACTAATGAATCGCATGCAATAGAAATTATAACATGTACTGCATAAGAAAGTAAATAGGTTTCATTTTTATCACTAATACTGTAAGCATGACGTAGTTAGTTTTTTTTAGTATGTTTGTGCGTTCATGTGGGTAAGTTGGGTTTTCTGTCAGTGTAATGATGTTTTAAGAGAAGCAACCACCATTGATCTCACTCTGTACAGACTCACAACACAGTGTTCTAAAGCCAAACATTCAACTATTTCTACCTCTAATGATCTAATACTGCACTATTGTGGAAACCAGGGTTGAACTAAAACTGAAAAGAAAACAATAAAAAATTATAAATAAATAAATAAAAACTATAATAGTATCTCAATGATTCTAAAATAGCACTGATGGAAACTACTCCATTTTTGAGCGAAGCGATCCTTTTTGTATTGAATAACACTATCTATGCACACACAGAGCTACCCATCACATAGTCTGTGAAAATGGATTCAAAATGCCACATTACTTGTATACATTAAATTAAATTGCAATAGCTACATTAGATTATATTAAGTAAAATCATTAATATTAAATACAATCAGTAGATCAGTCAATGAAATTAAGTAATCAAGATATGTCCATCTGATATTTCACCACGTAATAACAAAGAAAATTATAATAAATATATATATATATATATATATACACAACCCCAATTCCAGAAAAGTTGGGATGTTTTTTTGAAATGCCATAAAATCAAGAATATGATATTTGTTAATTCTCTTTAACCTTTATTTAACTGACTAATTTAAGTACAAAGAAAAAAAATCCAATGTTTTCACCGGCCAACTTAATTTTATTTTGTAAATATAAACAAATTTTGATTTTGGCGGCTGCAACACACTCCAAAAAAGTTGGGACTGAGGCATGTTTACCACTGTGTCAAATCACCTTTCCTTTTAATTACAATGTTTAATTGTTTGCGAATTCAGGATACTAATTGTTAAAGTTTTGCAAGCAATTTTTTTGTCCAATCTCACTTGATACAAGACTTCAGATGCTCAGCAGTCTGTGATCGTCATTATCTGATTCTCCATTTCACGACTGGTCACATTTAATTATAGGAGACAGATCTGGACTTCAGGCAAGCAAGTCTAGTATATTCACTTTTTGCTACGAAACCATTCTGTTGTAGCACATGCAGAATGAGATCTGGCATTGTCTTGATCTAATAAACATGGACTTCCCATGAAAGACGCTATCTTGATGGCAGTATAAGTCTCTGTACAATTCCAATATATACCTCCATGTCAATGATACCTTCGCACATTTGCCAGTCACCCATGCTGTTTGCTCTGCTGCACCCCCACACCATGACAAATGTTTGCTTTTGCATCTGTTGCTGATGAAAGTCTGGATGGCCCATTTGGTCTTTGGGACTGAGAACTCGACATCCATTTTTCTCAGAAACAAGTTGAAATGTGGACTCATCTGTCCACAGCACATATTTCCATATGTCCATGTGTCTTTTTGACTATCTGAGATGAGCTCTGGCCCAGAGAACCCCGTGGCATCATTGCATAGAACTGATGTATAGTTTCTCCTAGAGTTACAGTGATTCAAGTTGCATTTATTGATGCAGCGGCAAACTGTGTTTAGTGACAGTGGTTTTCTGAAGTTCTCCTGAGCCCATGTGGCTATATTTAACACCACATCATGACCGTTTCTTATGCAATGCCATCTGAAGACTCAAAGGTCATGCACATTCAACTGAGGTTTCCTGCCTTGCCCTGAGATTTCTGTGGATTCCCTGAATCTTTTCACAATATTATGTATAATAGTTGGTGAAAGACCTAAATTCTTTGCGATTTTGCATTGAGAAATGTGATTTTTGATTTGTTTGACACTTCTCTCATGAAATTTGGCGCAAAGTGGTGAGCCATAATCCAGTTTTGCTTGCAAAGACTGAGATGCTCCTTTTATACCCAAACAAACTTTGGATAAAAGCGTCTGCTAAATGACTAAATAAATAAATAAAACATGATCCCCTCACCAATTGACCTGTTTATTGTGAACTGTTTAATTTGGAAATTCTATAACCTTTTCACTTTTATTTTGCCTCTTTCTCAACTTTTGTGGAGTGTGTTGTAGCCATCAAAATCAAAAGCTGGTCAGTGAAAACAACCTGGATGTTTCTTTGATAGATTCACCCAGTAACGTCAATTGGGCCATTGGGACTATATGGCCATTTTGATCCATTTGAGCACAGACAAAATTCGTATCACACTGAGCATCTAGATTCAAACACATAAGGTAAAGAAAGGTCTCATCACACACACACACATACACAGGTGCTGGCAGAAGCACATCACAATCCCTACCTTCTCACACCCAGACAGCTGGGAGAGAAAGACAACAGATTATGTGTGACCGTCACGTCAATTACCTACACTGATGTTTCCCTTACGAGGTAACATCCATCACTCTCATACACACATAATTACAGTGCCCGATACTTTGAAACAAACATTTCAAAAAGGTATGACATTTAAAGTGTGAAAACACCCAGGAGGCTGGTGTTAGAGCATGACATTATTTCTTTCTCTCTCACCCGTCGTGACACAGTGGCATTGCTGCGTTCTTTCAGCTGAGGGTCGGTGGGCAGGCTGTTCCACATGATATACGGAGTGTCGTATTTGTCTCGGAGTTTTGGGCAGCTCTTAAACAGGAAATCTATAATAAAGAACTTGATGCCCGCGTAAAGCCCTGCCAGAGAAAAGACACACACCATGAGAATTATAAAACAACTACAACTTTAGACTGCTGGATTTCAGCACAAAACAACTTTGTAGATTTCAATATATTTAATAATTCAACTTTCATTTTATGGACCATGATGAAGCACACTTAATTTACCAGAATCCTCTAGTTTGCTAAAAACCGTTACACAAAATTTCTTAAACTCCCTGAAATTTTACAAATGCACACAACCATTCAAAAGTATGTATGTATGTATGTATTTAAAATAAGTAAATCAGTAATATTGTGAAATATTATCACAATTTCAAATCTGTTTTCGATTTTAATATAGTTTTAAAATATAGGTTATAATTTATTTCTGTGATGGTAAAGCAGAATTTTCAGCATCATTACTCCAGTCTTCAGTGTCACATGATTCTTCAGAAATCATTCTAATATGCTGATTTGGTGCTCAAGATACATTAATTATTATCAATGTTGTAAATGATTGTGCTACTTAAATTTTGAAAACCGTGATACATTTTTATTTTCAGGATGCTTTGATGAATACAAGTTAAAACAGTATTTATTTAACTAGATTTTTTTGTAACAATTTATAAATCTTTCACTTTTCACATCACTTTTGGTTAAAAAAATGCTTCCATGCTGAATTAAAGTATTAACTTAAAAAAAAAGAACTGTAGTGTACTTCGTTGCTAATTGTCTCTTGCTAACTATGTTCAGATGTTAACATGTTTGCACTGTTATTGCACACAAATTATAAACCCAATTCATGGTCACAATTCATGCAGAGCACAATTCAATTAACTTCCCCTGAGGAAGGATTTGTCTTTAATATACCCATTCAGTACCGCTACACAACAGACATGTCTATGTTTGATATAAAAAGCAACACTAAGCCATTTAGAATGACAGCGTTTTGTTTGTGTGTGAATGTTATTAGTGCGTATGGGGTGTTTATGTACATGTAAGGAGTTATGAGTAATGATTCTCACCGATCATGAAACCCATCAGCTTGTAGGGAAGGACGCAAGAGGAGATGAAGGCCACCCACAGAGCGATGTACAGTTTCTGAGTGATCTCAGGCTGAACCCACATAAACAAACTGATGTATACATACGCACACAAACATCCACCCATAACACATACAAACACAGAGAAACATTCATTAGTTTACAGTACAGAGCCCTTACATTTCAATGCTCCCACAAAACTTTTTGCACCCTGCTGAGAAACTTTGCATTTTCTTCCCATCGCATATTATTTTCATCGGCAGTTTTGCGTTTGCTCTCAAAAATGTTACATTCGAGTTTGAAACATAAAAGTTTTTTGAGTGAACACAAAGCATTGAAATATAATTTGTCTTCTAATCTCATATTAGTTAAAAGAGCTACTTACTTTTTGATTTTCTCCAAAACATCTGCCATCTTACCAAAAAGATTCTGTAGAAACATGAATTTAATACATGTCGGTCAAAAAGAACAATATGCTAAATTAAATTTGAGACATGAATCCATACAATTTCAAATCACAACAGAAATTAAACAAAAAAGAACAATTATTTATTATGACAATATTTCAGGTTATACAATAAAAGTCCTCAAAAACTATTAAATAATATGAATGGAAGAATGTGAATTAAGCGATGACCAAAAAATATAAAGCAACAAATCTTTGTCTAGATCAGACTCTGCTCATACAGGTCTGATCACAGCTCATGTACTTTTTGCATTCTTCAAATAACTTCATGAGGTGTATCCTGGGTTACTTTTTAAATAATATTAAAGAAATGTCCATGTATGCTTAACAGTTGTTGGCTGCTTATCTTTCACTATCAGGTAAAAAAAACCTGTTTTCTAAAGAAATGCATACATAATAGCAAAAGGATTTAGATCAAAACGTTTTCCAATCAGGAGAAACAGTAAAGTGTGCCCAAATTCTTGACAAATAGTGTAAATGCAATGGACAGGTTTTTATTCAAGTTAAAGTATAAGAATTCAAGTGTAAAGTTACCTGTGCTTTTTGTGCAACATCGAGAACCAACTGAAACTTTTCAGACACAGTTAGATCTTCCTTTGAAGGTTCCTGGAAGAAGGGGAAAAAAATTAAATATGCACAACATAAAAAAGTGACTGACAAATATTAACCAGGAAGAACATTCCTACCACAGGTTCAGAAACTTCAGGCACAATACTCCACTGAATTTTCCATCCTCTATAGAAAAAAAAAAAAAAGAAAAATATTAAATCAGTTTCTGATAAATTTATGTTTCTATATATATTAAAAAAATACATACTGCATGTATGTGTACAAAATATATGTTTATTATGTTGTAATATACAGGTATGGCATTAATACATGTACTGTATATGTACAGTGATAATGACTGTCTGAGTGTACTTTTTTTTTAATCAAATATGCTAACATGAGTACTGATCTTGTGGTAGTATATTCATTCTTACGACTGGACATTTCAGCCAATATACAACAACAACTAGAAATTTGTTAAATCTAGGTAACATTTTAAATTTAACCCATTTTCAATGAGATACTAGTAAAAAAAGGAAACATTGTCTTACCTGGCTATGAGGTAGTTCAATGACAACCTCAGAATGGCTAAGAATAGAAACAAAGGAATAGCCCAGCCATGCCATGCTGCATTCATATAAATCTGTGACAGAAGACAAAAACACAACACATATTACGTTGCTGTCCCAAGAAGGGATATTATCGGGTACAAAAACTATGAAAAACATCTTTGTTAAGTGAAGCTGAAATAAATCTTACAAATATAAATATTAGATTAAAAACTAAAATTTGAAATTTTGCTTTGGCAATTAATGAAACCTTTTTAGTAATATTAAAGTAATCTTAAAATGAATGGAAAATGAAAACTGACAATATAAAAATTTAAACATTTAAAATATTTATATAGACTATAGTAGTATATAAATAAATAATGGTAAAATAACACTCGTCCAAAGCTATTACATTTTAATGAGCAAGTAAATGGATTTTATAATTATAATTGCGTAATTTTGTGGTAAAAATTTACAGGAGCAATTATGTGTCACTCTCCCGACTATAAATTATATATAACTAGCATATATGTGTCACGGTGTTGCCTACTGTGTCAGAGTGAGGAGCGAAGGAGACGTAGGATAATTCAACAGTCTTTATTTACCACATGGAACACACATGTAGGAACGAGGATTGACGATCGAGACAGCACAGCGAACTCAAAACAGGAAACACTATAAATGCACAGGACTTGACAAGAAACACCTGGGATCAATAAACATAATTGCACATGAGGGAAAACGGGTCATGGAAAGCACGTGGGGAGCAAAACACAAAACACGGAACAGAGTCTGACATTACTCCCCCCTCCCAGAAGGTGTGTCCCGCGCCGTAACAATTCCACCAGGGAAGGGGGGTGGGCGCTCTGGGGGCCTCTCAGGACAGGCATACAGGGACGGACGGCCTCCAGGGCGGTACCCGTTCCCGGACCCATGGCGGAGCAGGCAGACTAGGAAGCCATGGCGGAGCAGGGAATTCAGGAGTCCATGGCGGAGCAGACAGTTCAGAAGGCCATGGCGGAGCAGGGAACTCAGAAGGCCATGGCTGGACGGCCTCCGTCTGGGCTAAACTCGGGGACAGGAGCCCTCACTGGACTAAACTCGGGAACAGGAGCCCTCCGTGGGCTAAACTCGGGAACAGGAGCCCTTCGTGGGCTAAACTCGTGAACAGGAGCTCTCCGTGGGCTGGATTCAGGGGCTGGAGCCCACACTGGAGCAAACTCTGGGGCTGGAGCTGACACTGGAGCGAGCTCTGGGGCTGGAGCCGACTGCCTTCTCCTCCTTAAATTCCCCTTTAGGTTCGGGGTGAAAGGCGTGGTCGGCGGGCTTGACTGAGGAACAGCCGGCGGGCTGGAGAGAGTCATGGCCGGTGGGCTTGTGAATGCCGCGGCCGGCGGGCTTGACTTCGGTGCGGCCGGTGGGCTAGACAGCAGAGATTCCGGTGGGCTTGAGCGAGCGGCGGCGCGCAAACTTAACTTTGGAGCGGCCGACGGGCTGGAGAGAGCCGTGGCCGGCGGGCTGGTTTTGGCTCTGGCCTGGACACTACCCAGACACCGGTAGATCCCTTCCATTCAGCATAGTCCCTTGGTGTCTGGGAGGTCTATGGGGCGATGGTAGTTGGCCCCGAGCCAGAACAGAGAATTGATGGTGGAGTCATCCAATGCCGTCGCCGCGGCGAGCCCGCAGAATTCCCAGGCGTACTCGAAGAAGGGGAGATCTCTATGGGCTAGGAAAATAAATCGAGCTGCGATTTCCATGATCGCGTGGGGGAGCACAAACGGGAAAACAAAAGACTTTTCAAAACACGAAAACAAAACGGGGAGAAGGGGCGCCGCTTACTTTCAGTTACGGTGCTGTCTTCTGTCACGGTGTTGCCTACTGTGTCGGAGCGAGGAGCGAAGGAGACGTAGGACAATTCAACAGTCTTTATTTACCACATGGAACACACACGTAGGAAGTAGGAACGAGGATTGACGATCGAGACAGCACAGCGAACTCAAAACAGGAAACACTATAAATACACAGGACTTGACGAGAAACACCTGGGATCAATAAACATAATTGCACATGAGGGAAAACGGGTCATGGAAAGCACGTGGGGAGCAAAACACAAAACACGGAACAGAGTCTGACAATATGTGTCTAAAAGAGATAGAGGATGTGTAATATGTACAGTGTATATTTATATGTGTAAATATGGAAAACTGATGGAAAACCACTCACAATGAAGGCAATCGCTGATGTATATACTGAGTGCCAGTTGGATAAGGCGGAAAGATTCCGTAAGAAATTTGTCACCGGTCTGGCACTCCATTCTATAAATAAATCAAAATAAAAAGATAAATAACAAAAGCTGAAAAATGTTTGTGAATCCATGTGCATATTAATGCCTCAACATCAACAAAACCACAGGAACACTTTAATACAACAACAAAAAGAGACTTACTAAGTCGTCGCATATTTTCTGTTAATCTGAAACAAAGACAAAGCAAATTTTCAAGCAAAAGCAAAAAAAAAAAAAGAACCACAACAATACAGCTATATTTCTACCGTTTCTGAGTGATTCTCAAAATAAGAACAATCTGAGGTATCATTCATGCACAAACAGTGAGGGACAAGTGACCTTCCCTTCAGCAAACACCACTGATTTCTTCCACCAACCACAGCCTGTCTTGTATTTTTATTGCAAAGTGACACTTAAACTGTGTAAATCAATGAAAGCAGACAGCTGTGGCCAGCACACACTCAATACCTCTCTTCAGAGACAGATAGATGTACTTAATTGATCCCTAAGTGGACATTCAGGAGACATAGACTTAATAGCCTCATGTATAATTGAGGCAGTTACATGCATTGACTGGACATCAGACACATAACTCTTTGAATTTGACCACAAACCACAAAACCTCAAAGATTCTCAACAGGTTCAAAATAACTGTCTGTATGAAATAAACCAAGTGGATTAAACTGTGAAGCTCACACATTTTTGAGGAATCTCTGACTTTATAGACTTCAGTAGAATATTAATAAGATGCAAATAAAAATTAGCCTTTGCAGAGTAAGTTCAATATGCTGTTACCATTCTGATGAGAAAACATTACAAATACATCCTTCCACAAATTCCAACAGGAATGTATGGGTTAGTAGTCCATTGCATGTAATATATTTTTCAAATGTTTTCTGAAACATTTAAAAAATATATGAAATTTGGCTTTTTTAATATTTTAAGTGTGATTATTGGATTACTGCTTTTTGGATTTTACTTGAATTTTTTCCCCTTCTAAAGACCACCTTCAAAAATATCTTAAGGAAATTTCTGAGTATAACAGATTCTTTTTAGATTTTGTTTGTTACTTGTTGAGTCCTGCTTCACTAGTTTTGCTCACTGTAGTATAAATTGTAGTGTAAATTGTTACTGGAATTGTTTTCCCAGTACAAAAAAAAAAAAGGCTGTACACTGCTTTCATTGAAGACTGATTTAATTGTAAGGATTTTGAGTTTTTTTTTTTCCTATCATGTGTATCTTTTATTTTGAAAGATCTTTATAATAGTTATAAATAAAGTTTCTGGGTTCTTGAAATTAAAAGTCTAGAAACAACAACCCCCAAACATAAAAACTCTCAAAAACTTGTACAAGCAGACTGGACAGTCTTACTTTCAACTGCATCAAATGAATAGAACAAAACAAGTTCAAAACAAGTTAAGCTCTAATAATAATTACAATGTTACATCATTAGGTGCATCTTCAATACAACACAGATGATTTTTTTATACATATTTTGTTGCATTAAACCCAGAATATTCTTCCTACATAAGCCATATGAAAGATGCAATAATTTACCAAAAGAAGGAGGCCAGCTTTTCAAAAGATTTGTAGGCAACATTTAGGCGATCAAATATAACAACAGTACTTTTCATGTATAATTTACCTTAGACGTGTTGAGAAATGTAAACATATTTGTGTTGTAATGCCATCTAAATGTGGCATATTAAGTCTAAGAAAAACATAATTTGATAGAACCGGAAGGGAACATATGTTAGGACATATGCAAACTTTTATTTTGAAAGGCAAATTAATTTTCTGTTGAAAATAAAAGCTTCATGTTATGTCAGTTTCTGTCCTGCCCCTTTTGAAGATCTCTTCTCTGCCACTAAACTCGGCTTATTCTGACTAAAAGCATCCTGGTCACAGGGGGGCAGATGTTTACTAGACAGAAAGCAGAGTATTTAAGTTTCACACAATGAATTCCACAGGTGATTTTTCTTCACTGACCTTTTAGCACTTAGTGGCTCCTCAGCCTCAACCGTGTTCTCCTCAGGCTGGAAGCGAAAATCCTCTATATAAACCCCGAACCGATCATACAGCCAGCTTTGCAGCCGCGAACACACCGTCTCTTTCTGCTGTTTGTCTACAGAGAGAGTTTAGAGATATATTTGATTTAGAGACCAAAACCAAATCTCGATTAATATGAATCTTGCAGTGTGGGTGTACTGAGAAAGAGAGGAAAATGAGATGCTTAAATGAGAAAATGAGAGGGTTGTGCTCTACATTCTCATTTCCTGCCTTAAACAAAAGGGGTTGGTCTGGCCTAGATGGTCTACAAATTTAGACAAGTGCCTAAAATAACAGCTGAACGCTTCCAGAAGCAGAAATTTCAGTCACAAACCTAAACCACAAACCAGCCAGAAAATCCAAAACCTCAACACAGGATTAGAGGCACAATTACCACTTGAACCCACATGACTGACAGACAAATAGAGAAGGTGAAAATTACGAAATCCTGTTAGAAATTAGGAGATTTGGTTGAGTCCATTTGAATTTATGTCACCCTGAAATTTCACAGTCCCACTAGGATTGTGTTTTTAGGAAAATTACTTTTTTTTCTGGTAGTAGGCAAATTTCCAGATTTTTTATTTAATTAATTATTTAATTATTTATTTTTAATAGGGGTACCACATTTACAGTACCATATTATGTGTGACACATTGATAACATTGATATGACACAATATAGTAAATTTTTTTTTTTTAATTAAAATAAGAAAAAAATCTTATTTATGGAATTGTGAAAAACTGGCGAGAATGCTAATCTCAAACTGAATTTGGTCTGAAATTATTTAAAATAGTCTCCCCAGCTTTTCACGATTCCATAAATATATGTGAAATTGTTTAAATAAAAGCTTTCTGTGATTAGTATAAAAATTGACAGCACACACATATTGGGTAAAGTAGAACATTTTCAGTAAACAATTTTTTTGTTGATACTTTTCAGCATTAAAAAAAAAAAAATTCATAGCAGTTTAGATACAATTCTGCCTTAAAATGTACTATTAAGAATTGATCTAAAAATTGTGAGGTGTAGAAGTATAGTCATCTAAAAATGTTTTGTTCCTTTTGATGCATAATATCATTTAAATATACACATGTGTATTTTATTCACATATCTTTATTTCTTATAATCTGTGTGTGTGAAGCTTCTGTCACCAGAACTAATTCCTTGTATGTGCAAACATACTTGGCAACAAAGCTCTTTCTGATTCTGATTCTGATAACATTGAGGGTTGTATTACCTGTGCCGTTAGCTGCAGGAGGCTGCTGCTTCCGTGGAGGCTGAGGTGGAGAATCTTCACACCTTCACCAGGAAACACAAACTACATTAACTTTCAATTCAATTCAAACTTTTATTCAGACCTCATCAACACGTTGATCTTCTACACATTATTTGCAGATTAACTATCAGAAACTTCTCCTCAATTTAGCTCGGCCTGTGCAAGCCTAAAATGTGCTGGCAATCAAATCTGAATCAATTACATGTTGAAATGGCATCAGTGGAAAGAACACTCTGCACTGACATATTGCTGTGCACAACTCTACGTATAGACATCGACTTCCTGCTGTGAAGGATCATGGGGGGTGGGATGTAGTGGCTATTTTTATAGCTCAGTGTGAGGCGTGGACAGCCCACTGTGGTCAGTTCTACCATGACAGCGAGAGAGAGAGTACAGGACCAGATCATTGAACACTGCCAAAACGCATAAATTTATCACAGACTATAGAAGGAAACTATTAAACTGTGCTATGCTACAGTAAAAGTTTTCTCCAAAACTTAATTCAACTTGTGATTTCTACTCAAAACCTTCTGCATTTCAGGTCTTTTTAATGCTTTTCTGTAGACTTGATTTTGTGCATTTTTTTATTATTTTTCACCTGGTCTTCAGCACATCACTCATCTTCTGTTCCAGGTCAAGTCTTCTGCTGCGTTCTCTTTCCAACTCCTGCTTAAGGGTCTCCACATTGGTTTCTTCTCGTAGCTTCCGCAGTTCCTCCTCTGAAAGAAAAAAAAATGCCACAATTTAAACTTCCACACAATTTAATAAATCTTCTATAATGAAGACATTACAAAAAATATTATGATCTAGTCCATGACATATAAGTGTTATTATAAACATTTCTTAAATTTCATAAATGTTTTTTGACATATACCACAGTAATACCATGATATACCGTTTCTAGATGTACCATGTAAATAGTTTAGTGACTTGTCGTAATTTTTATTTATTTGAATTCTTAGTGATTTTAATTTATTTGGCACAATAATATGGTAATCATTTAGTATCACATTATACTGCATACCACCACCTAATACATAATGATTTATAATGCTACAGTAAATAAATACTACTACAAATAATAATAATAGTAATTAATTTTAATGGAAAAATGCTTTGTAAAATCCTGGCCATTGGTTGTTCATTGTACGGTACCTTACAATGGCAAAAATGATATAATTTTTACTGTAAATTGTTAGAAAAAAAAAGTTAGTTAGTGAAGGAAAAGTTAGTTTAAAAAAAAAAACTAATAATTTACAGAGAAAATGTATATTTATGTGTAACTAACAAGCCAATACATATATTTATATAAAATACATATAATACATATAAAATATTTTAACAATATTCTACTCTAGAAGTGCAAGTATGAATCTGAATCTCATTATGATTCCTTGGGAATACCTGTATAGTGGTATGCTTGATTCTGAAAAAAAAAAAAAAACGACATATATATTAGGGCTGTGCGATTAATCGAAATCGAATCGAAATCGGAGACGTTGCGATTTCCTAATCGCAAAGCCTGCGATATATTACTCTGTTCCAGAGTATATGCATGACTGCCAGCCTTGAGTTGCAGTCTTACTAACCAATAGAGTGAGCGCACCTCCGTTCTCCCCAATCAGCACTGCTCTAGCCAACTGCGTAAACACCCACCATTAAAA